TGAAGGTTGAATTTAAATTCTTTTGGCCGCACATTCCCGTAAGATTTCAATGTTTTGTTTTTTTTTGGTTTCCGAAGTCATAATTCTGCCGAAAAATTCTTCACGCTTCCTCACGTGAGAATTAAGAAGTGGAACTCCATACAACTCCTAAAATCTTGTACTGTATACTAAGTTGCCAAAATTTCAAAGCATAGGTTTCTAGGTCTTCAGATCGAAACCTTGCACACAGACGTTACACGCACAAACAAACATAAGAATGCCATACAAACACAAACGCACACAAATACATACTCGCGTGTACATTCACGAACATACAAACAGACACAAATACATAGGCAAGTACGCTCACAAACATACAAACACACACAATATGCTTCTCTATAATAAGCATTTTTGCATTGCTTAGAGGCAAAATACACAAGAAGATGAGACTTAGGAGTTTCGTGTTTTCGTTTCTCAACTCTCACCTAAATTCGTGTCATTATTTCAAGATGACACTGTTTTTATAAAATAGAAATAAAATCTCTTTAAACAAAGGTTTGGCGTGAAATTTGTGGAGAAATTTGCCAAAATTTAAAGTTGCGGGTAACTTGTTCTCGACATTTAAGTATGTGGCAGTTCCAACTTACAACAACATTTTTGGTGCCCTTAATATCTCATTCAAAAACATCTGCTGTTTTAGAGCTGTTGTTCTTCTTTTTTAATTTTGTTGTTATTAAGGTGGACATCAATGGCAGAACCAAGGCAGCAACACTGCCTGGCGCCAGCAGAAAATTTCGATCCAAGGGGACATCCCAGGAACCAAAATCATCAACTCTACTCATGGATAATAGGTCTAAAAAGTCGAAAACTCTGGATAGCTTCAGAAACGCGGTGAGAGCAGCAATGTCACGTATGGGACTCAAAAAAGCGAGGGAAGCAGAAAAACTCGAGAAGAATGTCGAGAAAGGGAAATCATATAAACATAGAGTAACTGCTTTGCTATACTGTTTCTCTTTCGCAGATTATTTAGTTGCGGAGGGACGCAAATATGACAATGTTCCGGATTAGTGAGACTCTCCGGTGCGATTATGCGTTTTCGCACTAAACTCGCAGATTGTTATTAGCAAGAATGATCCCTACGCAGTACCCTAACACTTAGGCTCATACTGGCTGTGCCTTGGCCCCTTCCGGCATGTAGGAAGAAGAGCATCAGTTGGGATAAAGGTGGCGCATTATAGAGCTGCACGGACATCCAGGCGCATAATTACCGCTTTTTTGCATGAAGTCCGGTCGTTTTTCCGGTAAATGCTCGCTTTGTGAAAAAATGACAAATGCAAATTTTTTGAAAGAATGCAAATTTCCAGTTCACTAAAAAGTGAAAGTATTGCTCGACGGTCGTTTGTCAAAAAATGTACGTTCATTTACATATACGATTGCGGTTAAGGTCCGAGCTGCGAACGAATTTTTTGAAACATGCAAATTTTCAGTTCACTGAAAAATTGAAAGTATTGCTCGAACGGTCGATTTTCAAAAAATCCATATTCATTTGCATATACAATTGCCTTTCAGGTCCAAGTTGCTAACGATTTTGGTTTCAGGAGCTGCTTGAGGCTGTGATTGGGAAGCTAGAGGGCTGAATTTAAAATTTTTATCTCGCACGTGCATAGAGAATATCCCTGCGAAGTTTCAGTCTTCTACGTTGCCTAGTTCGCGAAACCGTTTTTCGCCAACGTATTTCTTTGGGGGTCCCGTACGCGGGGTTTAGGCGCGTATGGGGAAAGATCTTAAAACGGGAGGATGACACACGGGGTAGAAACATATATCCAGATCTTCAGCCTCCCAGCTTTCCTGATTGCTGAGATGAAAGTGGGTGACAAAATGCACTCGCTTTCCGAACACACACACAGGCAGCCCCTCGACAATATGCGCCGCACAGCAGAAACGCATAAAAATGCAAATTTTTTGGTGGAAAAACGATCTCGGGAACTACACGAGCTAAAAGGCAGAAATTTTGTAGGGATATTTTCTGTACATGTACTGGCTAAAAATTTCAAATTCAGCCCTCAGGTATGCGTGGTAGTCACGTAAGAGCGTTTGGAAGTTTCTGCAAGAAAATTTCTAACTCGGCAACCAGAAAAGCTGGAAGGCTGAAATTTTGGGGGAATATTTCCTGTCTAAATACAACTCAAATATTCCAAATTCAGCCCCAAGCTACGCATGGTACTCACGCAGGGGCGTATGAAAGTTTCTGCGAGAAAATTTCTAACTCGGGAAGCAGAAAACGTAGAAAAAACTGAAATTCTAGGGTAATGTTCCCTGTCCAAGTACAACTTAAGTATTTCAAATCCAGCCCTGAGGTATGTGTGGTTCTCAAGTACAGGTGCTTAAAAGTTTTAGCGGAAAAATTCCTCACTGAACAGCCTGCTTACTTTTAAAGAACTACCGTTAAATGGAAATTCTACTTTTACTTTATGCAAAATTTTTGGTGATTTACGCCAGTGAGCGCGAAAGGTAGGTATAAAGCAACAACCATTCGTGCAGTTAGTGACCTGAGTACTTCAAGTCTGGTGCAAAAACGCATGATCACACAGGCCCGCCCGGTGCATTCCAGCCTGGGTTTTAATTTTGGCGATATTAAGATGAACATCGATGACAAAGACAGGCCATCAACTTCGTCTGGCGCTGGGATGGGATCAAATAATGGAAAATATCGAGCTACGGAGAAATCCCAGGAACCAGGACCATCAACCGCTTTTTTGAGTGAGCAGCCCAAAGAGTTGGGGAATTTGGCTTTGACTTTTGCCGAGGAAGCAATAACGAAAGCAATGTCCTGTATGAATTTCGAAGACGCCGAAGAAATGAAAATATTCCCAGAGGTTGCCGCAAAGGAAAAATCGCGTGAATTCACGACAAAAGCAAAAAAGAAATACCGATGGGTAATTATTCCAGTTTTAGCACATGATCACCGCTTTACATGTTTCTTCTCC